TTTTTTTTTTTTTTTTTTTTTTTTTTTTTTTTTTTTTTATAACAAAATCATTCGTCTGCTAAAGCATTTTTTTGGCTAAAACTTGTTTTTCCCTACAAATGAAGTTTTTGTGTGGGAAATTTATTTAAGCTACTATGAAAAAAATTGTAGGAAAAAATTAAATTATTTTCATATATTTATTTTTATTTATATTGTGGTAATTTTTTTAACCTTATTCAAATTAATATAAAAATGCAAAAAGATAATACATAAATTAAAACATGTAGTGACAATCAATGTAAAATTGGATCCGAAATATTTCACCAAAATACATATAAAAATGATTCACTCGGTATAGTTACATCTAAACTTAAAATAGTATAAAAAACATGCTCTGCATCTACTATTATGCACCTAAAAAAACTACTATTCATCTTCATAAATTAGATATACAACTGATCCTCGCCAAAATTATTCTCTTCGTCCTCAATAGCATCCTCCTCATTAACATTATTCTCTATTGACAATGGTGCAAGTGAAGGTAAAACAAAGCCACAAACTTTATCACATAGCTGGTGCATAAAATTATGTCAAGACAGCAATGTAGAATTAAATTGTTGCTCAACAATTTCAAGCAGCATGTTTTGCTTCTAACTCATTCTCCATACTGCGTACATTGGAAGAAGATGTCTCAATGTCTTGAAGATGACCATTTCCCGACCTATAAATTTGACGTCCAGGTTTCATATCTAAAATGGACATCACGATATTAAGTTAAACCTTAGGATCATCTACATGTATCTCCTCCAAACAAGTGTCTTCAGGAAGTCTCTACCTTTTTGCCTTATTTACAAGATATTCATACCCTTTGAAAAGCATTTCATCCTACAAACATAACCCATAAGACATATAAAACAGTCCATAAAATCAAAATATGCATGAGATATAACACAGCTGTACACTACAGATATAGCATAATCTAGTAGATATAATTGACCCTCATAAACATTTCCATTTCCAAAATATTCCAAAGCATCCAAAAATTGTAGTACTACTTGCTCTCGTGATAATTTTCCTATACTACTTAATCTCATGATAATTTTCCTAACCTTTTAATTTAATCTAACTTTGTAATATGTTTTTTTGTGTCTAAATCGGTTGATAAAACATGATAAAGAAAACAACAGTTATAGTACCGAGTGTTTCTTACATGTTGGACCTTAACTGCATTATAAGCAAATTCAAATGTGTCGACTTTAGGAAACTTCGAACCATCCTAGTACAAAAAAGTATGTTTCTAACACTATATTCATATTATTGGTAAACTTATTTAATTAAGTACATGTTGATGACATATAAGTTCACTACCTCTGCTATCTCCTCAACTACGTATGAGAAAGGACGTGAACCAATACGATGATTATGCTTTTTCTTTGACTGATTTTCTATGCTTTCTGCAAAGAATAAATATAGATATTACATAAGAAAATTAGGGGAAAAAATATGAACTAGTAAGGAAAAAAAAAAAAAAAGATCCTTAAACTTATCAAGTGTTGAGAACAAAATATCAGCTTTCACTAGATATTGCGTACACACTCTCAACCCGTAACATTAATTATAACAAAAAGGCACCTTGACTCGACATATAAACATATATTTGTACGAATAAAATATCCCTTGTTTGAGTCCCATTTTTTCATCAAAATTCATTTTTCAACAGTGATTTGAACTAATTTCAATCACACATTTTT